TATCTTTCCACTCCAGGTCAAATCTATCCACTGGGCATTATATAGCTCCCTGTTCTACCCTTTGTAACCTTTACCTCAGTGATAACTTCCCATTTATTTTCAACATTTTTTATTAATGGCTTACTCTTCCAATAGACTGTACATCTTATGAAGCCTAGGACCTGCCTATTTATCTTCGTCTCTGTTTTATGTGTGCCTGGTGTGGTTCTGGCCCATGATGTGAATGTGTAAGTCATTGAAACGGCGGGAGCCAAGCAAAGGTGTGTGGGACTCTTACATTACAGGGTAAGCAGGTCAGCAGGTTATGGATGACTCTGCATTGTAACTGAGTTTGGACTTTTCTCCATTAAGCCAATGGATACCTGTTGATGGGTTTTAAACAGATGATCACTATGGTTCGAGTCTCATAAAAAGAGAGGATTGAGAGTCTGGTACTGGAAGCAGGAAAGTGCAATTCAGGACGCTATTGTAGGAAGTCTGGATAGGAGACGGTGAACAGAACAAGAAATGCTAAGGTGGAAGAGCAAATAGAACTTGGTGACCAACTGGCTATGAGGGAGGGATATGGGCCACCTTTGGGGACCCTGCTGTGGGGACAGAATGTGGTCATTCTCCAAGAAGGGGGATATAGGAAAAGATGCAGGTTTGCAAAATATAAGTTCAGCGTTGGTTTGTTGAGTTCAGTATGTCTGTGGAATATCCAAGAGAAGATGTCCTCTTCTCGGCAGTTGGGAAAATGAATTCAGAGCTTAGGAGAGAGGTTTGGGCTAATAATACAGATGTGGGAGGCCTTAACATCAATCAATTTATGACTCAGTTTATGACTCAATTGTATGGTTTTTACTGGGCTTGCCTCCTTTTCCCTGACTTACTGGTGCAGGTTATTTAAGACTTTGATACATGAAGGGACCAGATTCTTCACTTTGCCCTCCTTGCATCAATGATGAATCAGGGTTTATGGATGCCAAACAACAGTGCTCAAATGTACTTAATGGTTCCCTGCCTGCCAAATCTACTGTCTGCTTTCTATGGACCAAGCTGTGTGGTGCTTTTCTCTCATCTCTATAACAACCCTATGAACTGGGTGGACTCTCCATTTTGTAAATGAGGAATAACAGAGGTTCAGTGTCTGATCCAAGGTCATAGCCAACAATAATAATAATTAACACACTGGATTTGAACCAGGTCTACCTGATTCTGTGGGCTTTGCTCTTTTCCACCAACCTGGATTGCCTCTGAGTGCCTGTGGCTGCTGATGGTTTGTTCTGCTCCTGAATACAATTGTTCTTTCTCTTTCTTATATGTATAAAAGAGTTCTTTCAAAAAAAGTCGAGAAATATGTACAGAAACATTAATAGTGATTATCTCTGCATGGTGAAATAGGAATGATTTTTGTTTTCTTTTCCATACTTTGTACTTCCTGAGTTTTATGAAATGAAGAAATATATTACTGTTTATAACCAGACACATAATGGCACTATTTCCATAACAGTGATGATTTTTTTTTTCCATGCAGAGAATTATAGGTGAATATTCAGTGCAGTTTAACCATTGCTTCCCACCTCCCCCATCACATTAATGGGAATCCTTAAAAGCAGCATTATTTTTTGTTTGCACATGATCTTAGCCAATAGAACAAGAAGTGATGATTTTGCTCAAGACTCCCATGAGCACATGGCCCCAGTAGGAGGGATGTGTATTGTGGTATCAAGACCTCAGTGAAGGTTTTCTTTTTTCCTCTCAATTCTCCACTTTACACAGTGTGACTCCCGAGGTGCTAAGTATGCATAGCAAGGGGAACCAGGAGCTTGGACAGAGAGAGCACTGGTGATTTGGGGAAATTATGCTTTTAAGCAGAAGAGAGGAGAAATGAAAGGGTAAAGGCAGGGAGCAGACTTTTAGCTGTGTTTCTCTTCTACACCAGTATATGTCAGTTGAGTTTGCCCTTGCTCTTCACTCAAGCCTTGACACTTGTCCATGTAGCCTTCGTTCTCCACTAATATCAAATGCTTTGTTAGATTGGATTTGGGAGTGATATAAAATTACACCCTTAGGAAACAAAAATATTTCAGGACTGTGGGAGTAGGAATTAAATGATTACATTCAAAAGGAACACAGCAGAAGAAAAACACACTTTTTAAAGTCCCGTATTAAGTTAATTCTCTGGTCCTCTGCAGTTTTGAACTGGACTGACTTCTAATCAGAAGAAACCCAGTATCTCTATACAGAGACACTTAAAAAAGAATATTTGATTGCACTGCATAATCCAGCCCCAAACTCATGGCGTGTACACCGTTTTGGCAGGATGAGTGGGAAAAAAACACCGCCCTGTGCTGTGCGCGTTCATCTTTTCCTTTGCCGAGCTTGGCGGCTCCTGCCTCTGCGCAGGCCGTCCTTCTGCGCGGTGCTGCCGGCTGCCCCGCTGAGTTGAGGCGAGGTTTGGGCGAGCGCCCCGGTGCCTGAAAGGCGCCGACACCCCAGGCTTCTGAGGGGCCGCAGTGACTTAGCAGTAGTGACCCAGTCGCTCAGCTGCGTCCGACTCTGCGACCCCATGGGCTCTGCGGTCCGTGGAGTTCTCCAGGCCAGAATACTGCAGTGGGGAGCCTCTCTCTTCTCCTTGGGATCTTCCCAACCCAGGGATCAGACCCAGGTCTCCCGCATTGCAGGCAGATTCTTTAGCAGCTGAGCCGCCAGGGAAGGCCTCAGAGTGACTTACCTGGAAGCTAAAATCATATCCAGGGCCCAGAAGCAGTTAAACTTGCTTCCTAGATGTACTGACTAGAAATAACTTACTCATTCCAAGAAGATGGTCCTAAAGTTGGCTGTAGAAGCTCCATGTGCAAGGGTTACCTATTCTTTCCTTCCATAGTAGAACTTACCAATCTGAAAAGGTAAGACTTGGAGAATGAGTTTAAACAGTACTTAAAAAAATTGGTACTGGAGGCAGAATCTGCAGTATTCCTTTGATAAAGTCTGCTGAATGGAAAGCCAGCATATTTTAATTGAGTGGCTGTGAGTGGATCCTTAGATATTTTGAGTTGTAATGAATTTTAGTGGTTAACTGTGGTAAACCTCATTTCAAAGACAAGTTATTTATTCTTTTTCAATTGTGTTGGCAAATAGAGCTATTAAGAGCCAGAATCTTATGTCTGATTCCTGAAGTCGTGTAGCTTGACTCCTGTTAGGAATGTAATTAAAGTGTCACCTCCCACCAAAAGAAATAGAATCTAAAGAAAAAGAATCAGGTGACTCTGATGATGATGCAGCTGTTACTCCGAGACCTGTTTTTACATCTTCACTATACTTTTCATTATTTAGAAAAACATTGTACAGTAGAAACATAATGGAAGTCATATATGTTAATTTTAAATTTTCTAGTAGCTGCATTAAAAGTAAAAAAAAAAAAGGTGAGATTAATGATAATATATTTAATCTATATCCAGAGTAATACCATTTCAAGATATAATCAATATAAAAATTATTAATGAGACATTTTACATTCTATTTTTCTTACTCTTTGCTTTCATATATGTTTAACATTATGCATGCATGCTTGGTCAGTCACTCAGTCTTGTCAGACTCTTTGTGACCCACCAGGCTCCTCTGTCCATGGGATTCTCAGGCAAGCAATACTGGAGTGGGTTGCCATTTCCTCTTCCAGGAGATCTTCCCAGCTCAGGGATTGAACCCATGTGTCCTGCATTGGCAGGTGAAGTCTTGACCACTGCGCCACCTGGGAAGCCCATGTGTAACACAGCACATCTCAAATCACACTGGCTGCATTTCAGGTGCTGAATAGGCACATGTGGCTGGCTAGTAGGCTGCCAAGCTGGGCCGTGCCAGTTTAGAACAATTCCTTTAAACCTTAAACTATTATGGAAGCAGATGCATTAGAATATATAGGTTTTAGAAAGAGTTCCTAATACTTTTTAGATTACTAAAAATAGGGCTAAGTATGTTGAAAATAAATCAGTCAATGAAGTAAAATAGCCATCTGATGGTGTTCTGCATTCCTTAAGTTACTGGGAAATACTGTGATAATACATGTTGAAAATCAATCAGTCAGTGAGTAAAATACTGATTTGATGGTGTTCTGCACTCTTTAAGTCATTGGAGAATATTGTAATAATAATTGCAAGTTGAAAATGAGGAGAACTAGGACAAAGCCTACTTTCAGTCTGCTTGAAATAGGTAAGTTTTCTATCAACAAACCTGCGTTCCCAGTATGGTTCTTGCAGAGTTACAAGGCAGAGGTTTCATAGATGTTCTGGCTTCTGGGGGCATTATTTTATAGCTTGGCTATGAGTTTGAGAACTTGTAGAGACAGGTAAAATCCCACCCCACCCCCTCACAATGAAGCATTGCTACGGAAACTCTGAAAAGATTGCCATTGACTGAATTGTTGAGGCTTCCAGAAAGCAAAGAACAATTATAAATCGTTCATCTCAGGTGGATTCAGTATAGAATTACTCAGGACAGGAATCTTTTCTGGGAGATTTCCTCATTCCCTGAGACTTTACATGTAAAAATCTTTGTTTTAGTTCATTGTCAGTTGTTTTAAACCCGGGGTGAAATTGGGAATTTGGAAAAAAAAGAAGGCTCCCATTCTACCTGCCCTCATTTTATCTTTAGTGGAAGAAATGTATCACCTGAGAGCTTTAAAATGAAAAAATTGTTTTCATTGGGAAAATGTTCCTAAAAGGTTGCAAAGTATCATTTTTCCAGTGAAACCAGAAACCCTTCCGTACCTTTTATTAAGACGTCTTGAAGTACATGGGTTTTAAGAGGGACAAAAGAAAAAGGGGAAAAAAATGTTGAATTCTAGAACACCAATTCTCTGCCCAGATCCTCCTCATGAGGATTTTGTTGTTTTGTATAGTTCCCTTTCTCCCAGTCCTGTGATGCAAACTTCAGGGAGTCTGAATTTCTTGCTTATTCTTTCTTGGATTGATTTCTAAGAGATCTTTCTCCATTTTTATTTTTATTTTTTTGACACCCAGGAATTAAATAGCTTTAATTACTTGGATCTGTACAGACTTGCTGACCTCTTTAACCTCACTTTGTTGGAGAAGGCAGTGATCGATTTCTTAGTGAAACACCTCTCTGAGCTCCTGAAGAGTCGGCCGGAGGACATTCTAACGCTGCCTTATTGTCTGCTTCAGGAGGTTCTGAAGAGTGACCGCCTGACCTCCTTGAGCGAAGAGCAGATCTGGCAGGTAAGGGCGCTCTGCATGGGTCCTCCTTCGGCGTGAAGTCGTGGAATGATTAAAAGTTAAGGGATTGAGGAACAGTGACAAGTATTTTGTCTGGTTTGCTCCACACTGGAGTTGAAGTCTTAGAAGTCGTGTCCTTGATGGGCAAGTAATTGGGGAGCACCAGCCCTTGAGGCTTCATCCTGCTCAGCTTAGCTGAGCGAATCACAGGCAAGATTCCTCAGACCCTCACCAGAACCTAAGGGGGTGACATCAGAGAGAGTCAAGGGGTTTTATCCTCTTGCCAAACATAGTTACTGAAGCTGAATATGAGAAGGACAGGTTGTAAAGTGGTATTTATGCCTATTTAAGACCAATGGAATCAGAATAAATTCTGGGCTTTCCTGTAAACAGTTCAGAAACAAGCCTTTATGCAGTAGAGAGCAGCTGGGGCCTTAAATGAGACGAAGCTCTTTCTGCTTCACACTGGGAAAATCTCTTTCCTTCCTTCGTTCTGTGCTCGTTGCTGTTTTCCTATGCCCTGCCTTTTCGCCTGACATAGCATTCCTTTCAGATACCCTTTGTTTAGGGGACAGAGGATGTTTTGTGTTTTCAAGTTGATTATTCCGTTGAAATCCATTGTGCTCATCTGCAGTGACTGTACTTGAACAATCCACACAGTGTCTTTGGAAAACTGTCACCACACAGTCACCACAGTCTGACTGTTTTCCAGAGACAGTCAGAGTCCATCTTCCCCCGCTTCTCCTTATACTTTGGCTAGCCATCTTGTTACTTCTTGGATTCCATACCTTCAAGATTTCATGGTCATTTGAAAAATGTTTATATACAGCATACAAGGGAAAATATGAAGTCTTCTATTAGCTGATGAGGCACCTTGTATCTTATCCGAAGACATTCAGAGATTTAATTCTGGCTGAAATGGAGTCATAGATAGTTGTGAATTATCCAATGTCTGATTCTCTGGTGGTGGTGATTTAATTGCTAAGTTGTGTCCAACTCTTTGTGACCCCATGGACTATATATAGCCTGCCAGGCTCCTCTGTCCATGGGGATTCTCCGGGCAAGAATACTTGGGGTGAGTTGCCATTTTCCTTCTCCAGGGGAATCTTCCCGACCCAGGGATCAAACCCACGTCTCCTGCATTGAGAGGCAGATTCTTTACCACTGAGCCACCTGGGAAGCCCACATCTGATTCTACTGATGGCTAGTTTTCCTGATGCCTTTTTCCCGAATTTCTTTCTCTTACTTTAATCAGCAACTTTCCTCTTCACCACTGCTTCCACCTGTGAGGGTAAGAGCTGTGGTGTCCTGAGGGCCTTCCAGGACCCAGGCTCTTTGCAAACTTACTAACTTATCATCACAACAGGCCCGAAGGGTGGCTGTTATCATTCCATCCTCCGGACAAGCAAAATGAGGCTTCAAGTGTCTTGCCTCAGGGTTACAGAGCAGAGCCAGGCTTCAAATCCATGTTTGCTGACACCTGCCCTCATCTTTCAAGTATTCCACGCTGTCTTGACAAAATATAAGTGAAAAAAACAAGCCACAAATTATTTTCTGCTTCTTAGGTATATCTCATAATGTTTGTTCAGGCAGAGGTCAGAAGTCTTGGTGAGGATGAGTTTGGGCTATGAATTTTAATTATCTGTGGAAAGCACAAATCATCAGAATTACTCTGGTTAATTCAAAGTGAGGAATTGTCATATTTTTCTTGACTTCCCAAAGGGAAAAAGACTTAGAATGAATTCTGCATTTGATTATTTCTAACCAAGTTGAGATGTGGGCCAACCATCCCTGTGGCTTCTGTCTCTTTTTGTGGCATGGTTGAAAGCACTGCCAGATATCAACACGGTAATGTACAGATGTGCCAGTGTCCAAAAATTTCACAGTATTCACATAGGAGTTACTGTAATTGCCTCTCTAAAGGTCACTAATATTATAATGTAGAATCTCAAAAGCTGCTTTCTGCTGCAGGCAGTATTTTCTTAGACCTGGTCCTAAAGAAAGAATTAAAAAACTCACAGAAATATTATCAATTTAGGCATTCAACGGGCAATAAGAAACTGTTTTTGCATTATCTTAGTAAATAAGTAATTCCCTTGTACTCAACCCAATAGAGAAAAATCAGATCAGTCCAGTTATATCACCTCAAGTATAGTTAAGTTCATCATTTTTGCTGAGGTTATACTGGTAATGCAATATACCAGGGAAGAATCTAATATTCAGCCCAGGGTGAAGATTGGGTATGCCAGAGGATTAGTGTCAGGGTGACTTTATAGAAGTGAAACTTGATGGACAGGTTGGAGACAGATCTACAGAATCTCATTAAATTGCTGAATTGTTCATTACGGAACGTTCTCACTGTAATAAAGTGCTCATTGACTTTGACAAATCCCTATCCCACGTCTTAAAGAAGAACAGTGAATCTTAGGGGTGTTGGGGAGGAAACAGAGAATTGGCTCAAAGTAGGACAAGTAATAGAAGAGCGGATGAAGGGATGGTGCTGTTTGATTATGTGCAGCTGGTGACTTAGGTGAGCGCTCAGTAAACACACACATTCGCGCTTACACATGTGGCCCTTCCACTCTCTGATCTACTGGTGATGTAATCCGGGATATCCACTTCATTTGGCAAAAGGCCCAATTTTTATTATTCACCATACTTCACACAATTTGGTTCTAAAGACATGTCATAAGAACTGTCACTTTATCCTGACTGAACAGACTTTTTTTTTCTTTTTCCTGCTGTCCCTTATCCAGTCCCTTTCCTGCTAAAATGTGCTAAAGCCCGTGATAACCATTCTGTGCATCTGAAAAACCTATTGAAATCCCCTGATTTCTGCTCTCTTTTCTTCTACCTGACCTTTTAAAACTTTATCTTAAGTCTTCTCTCTCACAGAGGCTTCTTCATCCCCCCTAAACAATTATTTTCTCCCTTCCATAGCCTGAAACTGCTGGGTCTGTTCATTAACTTCACTTTATATCCACAGGGACAGTTGAGACTTTACTGTGTATACACTTTGGATATATAAAGACAGAGAAGTCCCCTCAAAAAAATCTTTTTTTTTTTTTAAATTCAGTTCAATTCAGCTCAACAATTTGGTGTTAGAGTTCAAGGCCAGCAATTTCTCAGATTCCAGATGAAAGATACCAAATTGGTTATTGGGTTCAAAGAAAGAGGAGACTAAAAACGAGCCAATCAGCGGAGGAGGAAGCATGGGGCGTGAGGTCACTGGCATCCATGACCTGGCAGATCTCCACCAGTTTTATTTTGCTTTCAGGTTTTAGCTTTGACTTAGGACTTGGTTTCAGCAGGGGCCTGTTAAATTTCTCTCCTTAGATTCAACATAATAGTTTCAGACTACTGAGCCAGGGGTCCTGCTCTAAAACTTAGAGTGAAACCATGAAACAGTTCCATTCCACTCCCACATATTGGGTCTGTTCTTATTTCATAGGAGGTACTGGATAATCTGTTTTTTTCCTCAGGAAGGTATACTGTCTGCCCTTTCTTTTTCTTTTTTTTTTTTACTGCAGTCTCTTTTCTGAGAATAAAGGGGAAGTTACCTTCTGTGACAGTGTGGTTTGTAGAGAAACCTATATATTATGTAAATTCTTGTATTTGCTAGCATAGGGAGAAAGTGTGGCTGTCCACCTATCAGTATTTTTTTTTCAGCTGCACCACATGGCATGTGGGATCCTAGTTCCCTGACCAGGTATCAAACCCACAACCCCTGTGTTTGAAGTGTTGAGTCTTAACCACTGGACTGCCAGGAAGTTCCTATCCATCAGTATAAACTGAGCACCCACTAAATGGCCCAAACCACTAAATGTAAGGCAGAGTACAAGCTAACTAACTGCATTTCCCTCTCCTAATCCTCACCCCAATTGGGAGGGATCCTTCTGGTTTTAAACCATTACCCAGCTTTCCAGATTATTATTTCATCTCTGAAGTAGCAGAAACAAGGATATTTAAAAATGGGTACAGTAGATTGTTGAATTACAAATGAGTATTTATTGTTTACCTGTTATGTGCTCGGCACAGTTTTAGAAGTTAGATCCTGGGATAAAAAGCTGTTTAAAAGTGTTCACTTGTCTGGTTAGAGAGATTTAGCTTAGCTTGATTTCTGAACAGGGAAAAGTTTTGTTTATCTTTAATTCTTAATTAACTGTTTCCTACTTTCAGTGAAAAGCACTTATTATTAAATAAGTGTTAATTATACATCAGTGGTTTTCATCCTTTACTAACCTTGGCTTGAGGGCTCCTCCTTATATTTTGAGCCTAACTTTGCTGGACTTCAGTAGATAATAAGAGCAGACGATTCAGTGGTCACATCACTGATGTCAGACACGACCAGACCTTGGCAGGGAAAGTCTTTTTTATCCCAGTCATGTCCCGTTTTAGTTTGGCGAAGATGAACCATGTCATGTGGTTTGGGGCTGGGGGGATTGGAGTGGGTAATCATGTTTACATTTGTCTTTGATTCTTCATCCCCAGAGCCAGAGGCTGTACCTGTAGGGTTTGTGTTGAATGCTACCTTCTTGTTCTCTTACACTCTATAAATAATGAATTAAAAACAATAATGTATAGTTTTCATATTAAAATGTATTGAATGGATAATAAGGCGTCCTACTATTCCTATAAAAGGCTGGATTTATTCTAAGAAAATTGGTATACTAAGTGAGTTCCACCTTTTAAAACAGCATTTTTTTCTTGTGTTTTAGTTTGAAATTTGCATCTGTAAGTCATACTGTTAGTAACACATTCACTTTATATCTCTAGAGATGTAAGTCACATATTGTTTAGAGTAGTCAACAACCTCTGATGCAGTGATTTTTTTGACAGGCCCCTCCTGGGCTTTTATCTACTCCACAAACTACCCACCTTAGGTTTGATTTAATTATTTCCCTCAAAAGGAGTCCCAGAAAGTGAACCCAAACAAAAAGCTACTGTCCCTTTATAGTTGGAAAATAGAGGACACTAGCGATGTGCTCAGCGTTCGTCTTTTA